GGACAAGGGGTGTCAGTAGGGACCAGAGTTAACAGGAGAGACAAGGGATATCAGGAGGGATGAGGGTGACAGTGGGGACAGGGGTTAACGGGAAAAGGGGTGTCAGTAGGGACCAGAGGGGTTAACGGGATGAGGGGGTGTCAGTAGGGACAAGAGTTAACAGGATCATTAGGGACCAGAGTTAACAGGAGGGACGAGGGGTGTCAATAGGGACCAGAGTTAACAGGAGGAACAAGGGGTGTCAGTGGGGACGAGGGGCGTCAGTAGGGACAAGGGTTAACAGGACGAGGGGTGTCAGTGGGGACCAGAGTTAACAGGAGGGACGAGGGGTGTCAGTAGGGACCAGAGTTAACAAGAAGGACAAGGGGTGTCAGTAGGGACAGGGGTTAACGGGATGAGGGGGTGTCAGCAGGGACAAGGGGTGTCAGTAGGGACCAGAGTTAACAGGAGAGACAAGGGATATCAGGAGGGATGAGGGTGACAGTGGGGACAGGGGTTAACGGGAAAAGGGGTGTCAGTAGGGACCAGAGTTAACAGGAGGGACAAGGGGTGTCAGTGGGGACAGGGGTTAAAGGGACAAGGGGTGTCAGTAGGGACAAGGGTTAACAGGAAAAGGGGTGTCAGGAGGGACGAGGGGTGTCAGGAGGGACCAGAGTTAACAGGATGAGGGTTATCAGTAAGGACCAGAGTTAACAGGAGGGACAAGGGGTGTCAGGAGGGAGGAGAGGTGTCAGTAGGGACCAGAGTTAACAAGAAGGACAAGGGGTGTCAGGAGGGACAAGGGGTGTCAGTAGGGACAAGGGTTAACGGGACGAGGGGTGTCAAAAGGGACAAGGGGTGTCAGTAGGGACCAGAGTTAACAGGATGAGGGTTATCAGTAAGGACAAGGGTTAACGGGAGGGACAAGGGGTGTCAGTGGGGACGAGGGGGTATCAGTAGGGACAAGGGTTAACAGGACAAAGGGTGTCAGTAGGGACCAGAGTTAACAGGAGGGACAAGGGGTGTCAGTAGGGACAAGAGTTAACAGGACAAAGGGTGTCAGTAGGGACCAGAGTTAACAGGAGGGACAAGGGTGTCAGGAGGGACAAGGGTTAACGGGACAAGGGTTATCAGTAGGGACCAGAGTTAACACGAGGGATGAGGGGCATCAGTAGTGTCAAGGGTTAACGGGAGGGACAAGGGGTGTCAGTGGGGACAAGGGTTAACAGGACGAGGGTTATCAGTAGGGACCAGAGTTAACAGGAGGGACAAGGGGTGTCAGGAGGGACCAGAGTTAACAGGAAAAGGGGTGTCAGTAGGGACAAGGGTTAACAGGAAAAGGGGTGTCAGTAGGGACCAGAGTTAACAGGATGAGGGGGTGTCAGTAGGGACCAGAGTTAAGAGGATGAGGGTTATCAGTAGGGACAAGGGTTAACAGGAGGAACAAGGGATGTCAGTGGGGACCAGAGTTAACAGGAGGGATGAGGGGTGTCAGTGGGGACAAGGGTTAACAGGACGAGGGGGTGTCAGTAGGGACCAGAGTTAACAGGACCAGGGTTATCAGTAGGGACCAGAGTTAACAAGGGATGTCAGTAGGGACCAGAGTTAACGGGATGAGGGTGTGGGGTGCCGTGGGGCAGTGTGTGGGGCGCCGTGGGGCGCCGTGGGGCTGACCGGCTCTGCATCTTGCCCTTCAGCTTGGCGCTGGGGGGCTGTTCCTCGGGGAGCCCCTCGGGGGACGGGGCCTCGCTCTGCGCCCGCCGCTGCTGCTCCAGGTTGTACTCCCTCAGCTCCGCCAGCAGCGTCCCTGCCGCGGGTGACATCACCGTGACGTCACCATGACATCACCATGACGTCACAATGACATCACACCCCTCAGGTGGGTGTGTTTTTTGGGGGGGTTTCCTCACCGATCTGGCGGCAGAGGGTGGCCCCCAGGGTGCGGGCGCCGCTGAGCAGGAGGCGCAGGACGGTGTCGCGGGTGACGGCGTCCCCCCGGGACAGTTGGAGCAGGACGTTGGCCGCGTCCTCCAGACCCTCCTCCGAGCACGAGTGTGACGTCAGCACCTGGGGGGGGGACACACATGGAGTTGGAGGGACACACACACAACCGCCACAGCCTGGCACCCCCCCCTCTCGGTGTCACCCCCCTCAGTGTCACCCCCCTCAATGTCACCGTCTCAATGTCACCCTACAACCCACCTCAGTGTCACCCCCCTCAATGTCACCCTGACACCCCCCCTCGATGTCACCCTCCTCAATGTCCCCACCTCAATGTCACCCTACCACCCCTCTCAATGTCACCCTCCTCAATGTCACCACCTCAATGTCACTCTACAACCCCCCTCAATGTCACCCCCTCAATGTCACCCTGACACCCCTTTTGATGTCACCCCCTCAATGTCACCCTGACAACCCAATGT